CTTTATAAATAAATACTTTTAAATATTATAATTAATTATTTTAAAAATAAATTATAAACTAATAAAATATTAATTAAATTTCAACAAAATATCAGTCAAATTGGACCACTCTAACATTAATACTACTTGTGAGTTGTGACCATATCCACAACCTTTCAATTCTGGACCTGAAAAGTCAGGACAGACAGGGGGGACTGCATTATTTGCTTGAGGTACGATTCAACACTGAAACCAATAATGTGACTCACCTCACAGTCAGAGTACCATAATGACTTCCTTCTCAATTCTGATCTCAAAACAAGAAAGATATCTTCCAAAGAATCAACCTAGATATCTTCCAAAGAAAAAAAAAAAGAGAAGGAGCAAATAGAAACAATTGTTCTTCAGTGTTGTTCTTGTTCTAATAACATTAGACCTTAAACCTGACCTTGCGCGTTAACTGGGTTAAGTGGCTTTAGTCATTTTTGTAAAGTTTAATGAGTAACGATTTGAGTTCGATCCCATAACAAAATGTTTGAAAAAAAAAAAATAATAACATTAGACCTTTATGAGCATAATATGATAACAGAGCTCAATGCCGATCATATAAACCATGAGATGGAGATTGAAATAAAATAATACAACAGAGTTAACTAACTTTCAAATAAAAGGTTAACAGTGAACAAAAAAGAATGGAGCCTAAATCCCTGTGGGATTCCGGACTTCCATTTACTACTACATTTTCTGACAATATATTGGCTGTACTTCTGGAGATTGGAGCTAAATATCAAAGGTGAAGATGCATCCACCATGCCCTTTATTCAATGATGAATCCAAACATAACACAGAATGCTCGTTTTCAATTTCACTCCCCAATTCACCTGACTATAATCTTGCTACTCCATCCAGCAGTTCTTCCCAAGAATACTAATTGCTTTGCTTGACTCCACATTTTAGCTTTACTACAAAAGTTTATACTGCCATGAGCACATGATGAAAGTCCTCAACCTAGACATGTAGAAGGCAGCAGAACAATTAGAAAGGCACAACTTGTTCTTGCTGGATTGACTCTAATCCGTACCTTCTTCCTAGACCCAAATGGCAGTTCTTTACGGAAAATATATATACTAACCATTGCTGCTTCTGTAACCCCAAATGTTCAACACCAGATGCCCCTGTACAATGCACATCCCCCCCAAGTCAAATCGCTCATGAGTTCCTTCCAATGTCTTTCCCAGCAAATTCTCCACTGCCAAATGATGCTGCTGCTGCCGCTGCAGCAGCCATATCAAGACCACCTCCAATAGAAGTAATTATAGCTGATAGGCCACCACTAGGGCTGCCACCAGCAGCCATCCCCAATCCAAGAAAATCAAGGGTAGTTTGCTTAGGACCAAATACAGATGGAGTTCCCATCATCAATTCCTTTAATCCAGAACTTCCATCGCAAGGAAGCCCTAGTCCGAGCCCTGCAGGAACTGAAGCATTATCAGGCTCCACTTGTCTCTGACCCCACAGCAAACTGTCCTGCTGTGCAGGTGATGAAGATGAAGAAACAATCCCAAGTCCACGAAGCAGCGATGCATTGCTTGCTGCAGCACCCATTTGAGCAGCTTTCTGCAAAAGTGCTGTAGCAGACATAGCTGGATGTGGGGGTGGAGCATACTGCCTACGCTCTTGCCCAGCAGTCCCAAATATTGACGAGCCATGGTTGGTTGAGAGGCACAGAGAAATCGGTTCTGTTGATGAAGATGGAGCAAGATCAGCAGGACGATCTGGGTGTGCCATAGCTCGAATTAAGTCAGTGAATGCAGGGGGTTGAGGAGGCTGTAAGCTTCCAGTTGCAGTTGATGATGCAAATAAACTTGCAAACACACTGCTGCTAGTGTTACCAGTGCTCCCTGAACTGGTGCTGCTGCTGCTACAGCTTCCATTTAGGCCAGCTGGCATCGGAGCTTCTTCTGCGATCTGAGTGGGATTCTCTGGCAACTCTATAACAAGAAAAACAATAGAGGGGTCCAATAACATTCAGACATGGAAACTTAAGAATTCTCTTTATATATCAACTTTAGAGCAAAAAGCAGATTCAATAATGGTTTCCTTTATATAAGCCCCCTTTTTCCTTTAAGCTTTTGAATCACCTTGGTTACTTTACTTTATCATGATCCAACCAATTGAATCTCACAGTTAGGAAGATAGTCTATTTCCCATACTTTCTTTCCTTCCCTAAATCTCATAGATTAATGAATTACAAAACTAATACTGTAGAGATGCATCCACATAAGTACAAAATACCGGTAACAGACAAAACCTACTACACTCCAATATCCAGAGACAGAGTAACAACAAAAACTTTTGGCTTAATCTAAACAAAACCACAAGGGACAAAATTTAAACGAGCAAGATTGCAGTTTTCCAAATATGATCATGTATATTTTACCTGAACTTTGAATAGAGAAAACTGTAGGAGTAGATACTACACCAGCAGTAGACTGAGAAAGAGTTGGTGCCGCTGGTGCTGGGGCTGCAGCCGGTTCTGGTGCTGGTGGCGGAGATGAATCCACTGCCTGAGGTTTTGGGTCTGATTCAGAGGTGGGATTCGCCACCGCCTGATTCTGATTCTGTTTTTGTGCAGGTGGTTGAGTTTGAGCTCTTGCGCTCTCTTCAGCCAATGCATCGCAGAACGCTCTGTGGGTGATGAAGCTGTCCCTCCTTCAAATTCCCAAAACAGAAAACAAATTCTCAACTAATATCCAAAACAACTCCTCTCCCCTCCCAAAATTTAAGCAAAATTGGATCTTTGGATTGTTTGAATACCTGGAGAACACAGTCCCACAATCGCACTTGTACTCTCTGGTGCCACAAATCTTGGAGTGAGCCTTCCAATCGGACTGCACGGCGTATTTCTTGGAACATTTGTCGCATTTCCACTTCTTCTCGCCGTGTTTTCTACAGAAATGCTTCTTGATTCCGGTGAGATCGCCCAGAGCACGCGACGGATCGTGATGAACACACGAAGGCTCGGGACAGACATAGACTCTTTTCTTCACTTCCTTGCTTGACCTCTGCCTCAGCTTCCATGGCAGATTATGTCCCCGCCGATGAAGTTGCAGGTTCTGGTCCCTCTGAAATCCTTTACTGCAAATTTCACAGACGAACCGGTTCGTCGCCAGCAGAGTCTTCGGAGACAGAGCAATCACCTCCGCATCTGGATCTGCAGCAGGAAAATTAAACCCATACCAGAGTAAAAACAACAAGAAAACTCATCAAGACAATCACTTTAGAATGAAGATTAAAGTATCATCTGATTCTACCAGGCGTTCCGGGGAGATTTCGCTTTTTCTTGGCAGTGGATTTGGGAGGTGGGTTTTGGTTACCAGAGGAGGAGACGCTAGCTTCACCGGAAGCTGTGGAGGAATTATCCAAGTCCACCGGCATGAGTACGGAATTCTTTTTTCTTAAATGGGTTGAAGAGTTTTCTTTGGAATCAACCTAGTGGACAAAAAAATCGATATCTAGAGCATTTATCTCCCACTTCCAAACGAACTTTTTCAGAGACAAAGTCTATGCTTTCTTCTTCCTTTTCTTACTTTTCTTTTTTCTTTTTCCTAGGGTTTTGTATTCATCCCTTCAAGCCCATCCGCCAGTCAATCTGCTTTTCTTTTCTTGCTTTACTCCACCTACCGGCTCTGATGAACCTCTGACCAAAATTCTCATTACCCCAAGAATTCAATCATTAACCCCCCAAACCCCTCAGGCTCCAAAAACCCCCTTACAAGAACCAGAAGCCACCGGAAAAAAAAAAAAAAAAAAACCCAATTCACCCACCACCGGGAACAGAACTCCCACCAATCATAAAACCAGAAAGATTTCAACTTTAACTTTGGAAAAGATTAGACATGGACAAATATCATGTAAGGCAGCTGCTCAAAAGGAAAGAAACACAGAGAGAGAGAGAGACAGAGACAGAGACTTGTCTTGTAAGTTTTGGAGAGAAATAAATAGGAAAATCTTGCTAAAAGTCTTTGGTCTTCCCTCCGGCTGGCCTACTTTTTCAGATTCAGACTATAGAAAAAGATAACATTTGTAAAAATTTCGTACTACTAAATTGTTTACCAGGCACAACTAATACGGCAACTGCCAAGGTAGTTGTGACCCTCATGCATCGTTTAAACTTTTAACAAAGTGAGCACAATTATTATAAAAATAAGAATTAATCTACCTTATACCTTAAGATATAAGGTAAAAAGTATTAATTATATAATAATAATAATTTTTTATTTTAATTATAAATATCATATGTTAAATTTTAATTAATTAATTTTAAATTAAAAATAAAAAGTTATTTATTAATATAAAATTTTACTTTTTTAAAAAAAATTTATAATTATTATTTAATAATAATTTTTTATCTTGTGCCTCGACATACCCTAAAAATAATTGAAAGATAAGTCTTTTTAATATTTAATAATTAAATTGTTTATTTATTAAATTTTATAATATTATATATTTATTTAATAATATATAAAAATTATATTAAAAATGATTTGTCTATCATTACTAGAACTTATGACGTAAAAAATTTATTGATCTAATAACTGTACAAAGTTTACCTTCTAAATGTGATGAAAACAAATTTTCTTTGTATTAAATAAACTATTCCCTGTATTTAATAATAATAATTTTTAGTTTCACTTTTTAATTTTTAATAAAAAAAATAGTTAAAAATTTAACATAACATATATTTAAAAAAACTTAATCAAGACAAACTATTAAATAAGAATAAAAAATTTTCTATTGACATTAATGTGAAATTATTCGTTTATTATATTAAATCTTTATTTTTTTTTTTGTTTTAAAAATCAAAGTAAACCAACTATGGTTCAACGGAGAGAGTATAGTGTTAACTCTTTTTGCCAACTTTTTAGTGTTACTATATCTTTAAATTTCAAAATAATTATCACTTATATGCAACTTTAAATGATGATTTTAGAAGATACTATATGAATATTTATTTAAAACTCTTTTTTATGCATAATTCTTACTACATTAACTATATTTATTTGATAATTAAGATAAAAAAAATAGTGTATAGTTTATACTACATAATATGAATTATTTTTTATCTCAAATAACTATCATTTTTTATTTTAGATTTATTCTAAATTAATCGTAATTTTTTATTTTTTTAAGTAAATAAATATTTTTTTAATTTAACTTTATCATTATCTATTTATTTTGATTAATTATCCTATCACAAAAATTTTTATTTTATTTTATAATCCTTTCTTAAAGATTATATAAATAAATACATAAATCATCATAAATCTTTAATTGAAAAAAATTTTAAAATAAAAATTAATATAAGATAAAAAAAATATTAAATTAAGATGAGTCCTTCCCTACTACTCAATACTCAATAATTCATATTTTATAATACATAATACAATTCATAAAACTCAACTAAGGCATCACTACTTCAATTAAATAAAGGACCCTCCCCTGTTAACAAGGATTAATGTTATATCTGAATTAGAAAATACTTTACCGTTTAGGAATAGTGGGGAGAGCAACTAATGGTTTAATCGGGGTTGTCTGTAATTTTATTACAAGAGTTAACTTGGGTGTGGTTCTGGTGTCACGTTGTCGAGACGGGGGTGTCTCCAGTTGGTTCTTACCTGCTTTTTTTTTTTTTTGTCGTGTAGCGATTTGTCCGAATTCTTTACGT